GGAAGTCAGAAATGGAGAAGGATTTGGGGGTCATTGTAGACCACAAACTGAAAGGTAGTTTGCAGTGCCAGGCTGCTGTAAACAAAGCTAGCAGGGTCTTGTCCTGTATTAAAAAGGGGATGTATTGCAGGGACAAGTCTATAATTTTGCCACTTTATAGATCATTGGTTCGACCTCATCTGGAGTACGCGGTCCAGTTCTGGTCACCAGTACTAAGAAAAGATGTCCTTGAGTTGGAAAAAGTCCAGCGGAGGGCAACCAAACTAATTAGGGGTATGGAGGACCAGAGCTACGAGACGAGGCTACTAAATTTAAACATGTTCACATTGGAGGTGAGGAGATTAAGGGGGGATATGATCTCCATGTACAAAATGTTTAATGGTGGCAGCAACATTAGCGATAAACGGTTTAAAATTAACTCCATTACAAAAACTAGAGGGCATCACCTAAAATTGGTGGAAAAAAAATTCCAGCACAAGGGGCGAAGGGGGTTCTTCACAGTAAGATCAGTTAGGGTCTGGAACTCACTGCCACAGGCGGTGATTTCAGCAAATAATGTGGAATTGTTCAAGAAACTTTTGGACGATTTCTTAAGGGACCGTAATATACAGGGGTACGGGTACTCCTAGAATGAGATCCTAATAGGTTGGACTTGATGGACTAATGTCTTTATTCAACCTCAAATACTATGTAATATATATATATATATATACTCCTCTACCCTCTCACCTGCTGTCAGCAGAGGCATTTCTGGATGAGAGGTACTTGATGACATCATCACAAAGTGCAGCACAAGTGGACGGCGACTTCCTGTGTAGAACCTGCAAGGCGACCTGCATCCCCAGACTGGCAACTTTATTGGTGGCAAATACTAAGAAGAAAAACAAACAATGAGAACTGGATCAGGGAGAGAGACGGAGGGGAGAGGAGAATGTGTACTGGATAGAGTCAGGGGGAGAGGAGAATGTGTACTGGATAGAGTCAGGGGGAGAGGAGATAAGGGAAGGGAGAGAAGAATGATCACTGGACCAGGCCAGGGGAAGAAGAGGGAGGGAAGAGTGAGCACTGCAGCGGGGTATGCAGAGAAGAGGAGATGTATGGAGTGAGGGGAGAAGAATAAAGCACTGGACTGGGGCAGTGGGAGAGGAGAGAAGAATTGGAACCAAGGGAGAGGAAAGAAGGATGACTGGGCTGGAGAAGAGGAGAGGAGAGGAGAAAAATCAAATGGGCTCTGGATTGGGGTGAGGGGCAGAAGAATAAGAGGGGAGACCGGTACTCACCTCCAATGTTTTCACAAAACAATCCGTTCAGCTCCTGCAGCTGCTTCAGAAAAGTGTCCGGAACATCAAATTCAGAACTCACTGCAAGAGAGAGAGAGCCCAGCACAGTGTATAGTGGTGCCCAGCACAGTGTATAGTGGTGCCCAGCACAGTGTATAGTGGTGCCCAGCACAGTGTATAGTGGTGCCCAGCACAGTGTATAGTGGTGCCCAGCACAGTGTATAATGGTGCCCAGCACAGTGTATAATGTTACCTGTTGGTCCCGGGGCTCCCTTCTTATTGGCCTCCAGGTTCAGGATGGTCCCGCTAAGTACTTGTAACAAGGTCCGTACGATGAAACTGCCATGCGTGTCCTTATTGTACGGCAGAAACTTCCCCTTTACTTCTGCGCACAGACTCAATATCAGATCCTCCAGATCGGGGCCCGCCTCCTCATCGGGGCCCGCCTCCTCCTCCGCGCTCTGGAAACGAGGATACTGACAGGAACTAACAAGCCCCTGTGTGATAGCATTGGGAGGTGACAGGTTCTCTTTATGGAACCCGTCACCTCCAATCCAGGAGTTCTAGCACAGCTCTCCCCTCTCACTGTCACTGTCTGCGACATCGCCGGGATCACTTGTACAAAACAAGCGGCGGCTTCCCCGCTGGACGTTCAGCCCTGCTTGCCCAAAGCAGGGCTAAATGTAGAAAACTACTACCCGCCCGGCGCCCGGCACTGCATGTCCCGGGCATCGGGAGATAGGAATTCCACACCTCTGCTGCCCCCAGGTTGGCCTTGTGGGAAATCCGGCCCTGCACAGAGGTACCCCTATGACATCACGCACTCACAGCATGTCCTCAGTCTTCTGGATTGCATTACAGTGGACTCCTTTAACCTCTTGCCGTCCGCCCGTAGTAAAAAAACGGACGGACGGCACTGCAGCATCTGCGGGTTGCCGTCTCCAGACGGCAATTTTTTTCTGCTCGCGCGCGCCCCCTAGCGGGCACGCACGGGCAGAAAAGACCCGCTAAATGCACACACCCGTTACCGGGTGTTTCACATATAGGCGATCGAATCAGATCCGAAGCCTTGCTGAAGAGTCTCCCCCACCCTGCGGAAATATCCCACCGACTTTGGATCCAGACGCGGGAGGGGATTTTCCGGCTGCTTCTTCTTGCTCTGCTCCGCGGACGGGTTGGCGGGTTGCGACGGCGAGCCCTTGTCTGCTTTCTTCTGTTTCTTGGGTGGAACTTCCTCCCGTCCAGCAGACTCCGCCTCCTTTCCCTCGGCCCGCCGGTGTCTTTTCTTGTCATTTCCTTTCTTTTTCTTCTCCGTCCCCATTGTGGTCCCTCTTCTGGTAATCTAGGGGCGCGGCCCAGTTATCGATCCAAACCTTACCGAAAACAAAGACAAGAAGGGCCACATTTATCAGGAGGTCCGAAGGGCCACCGCCTAGAGCTGCCAGCTGAGAGGGGCCCCAATAAAGCCGAGTTCCCGGGTCTGTACACCCGCTGTGCCCATTATGAGGGGCTCCCACCATCCCTGTGCTGAGTTCCCGGGTCTGTACACCCGCTGTGCCCATTATGAGGAGCTCCCACCATCCCTGTGCTGAGTTCCCGGGTCTGTACACCCGCTGTGCCCATTATGAGGGGCCCCCACCATCCTTGTGCTGAGTTCCCGGGTCTGTACACCTGCTGTGCCCATTATGAGGAGCTCCCACCATCCCTGTGCTGAGTTCCCGGGTCTGTACACCCGCTGTGCCCATTATGAGGAGCTCCCACCATCCCTGTGCTGAGTTCCCGGGTCTGTACACCCGCTGTGCCCATTATGAGGAGCTCCCACCATCCCTGTGCTGAGTTCCCGGGTCTGTACACCCGCTGTGCCCATTATGAGGGGCCCCCACCAATACATAGATACACATTCCTATTGACCAGCTGATACTTCTCCTCTTCTCTATGTGACTATCTCAGGGCTCCAGCCTGCTCTATCTCTCCAGGAATGGAGGATGACAGACATATAAGAGATCTGAGCACCTCCCCCTGCACCCCTCATACCTCTCAGCACCGGCATCCAGGAACTAGACACACGTGTTGGAGTCGCAGAGTGATGACATCACGGGACTCCCCCGGACCCCGCCCCCTGCCTTCTGATACAATGTAGCACTGACATTGTACATAAGAGGGGATGGGGGCGGGGTGTAGAGGACACATGGCAGGAATGGGGGAGGGGCCGAGCTGTACACTCCGGAATCTCATCGCCATGAAATATTTATATTAAATAATTGAATGATTAATTGTTTTAATAGTTGACCGCATTAAATGTATCAATCGATTGGTAAATCTAATCAGATCAATGAATGGCATTTGAATCTTTTCCCCTTTTATGTCATCCATTGTTACATCTCAGTGCTGCTGATGTCCTGCAGCCCCTGTGCAGCCACTTCCTGTCTACATGCACTCCGGGCGCATTTCCTGTTGGTGACAACAGTGGACCATGTCTGTGTAATGTGCTCTGAAATGGCTTCTTCAGACATAGTGACAACGCAGGTACACGACTAGGAGACGAGGACAAAGTGTTGTCCCTCTATAACAGGAAGTGCCTGAACAAGGCAGAATTACTATAACGACATTAACATGTTAATCTGCATCTTATCTGCGCTCCCGGCATCTCCCCCTTCCTTATCATGGCTCTGTTTTGTTCCGTTTGTTTGACTTTTGGCTGCAAACCATTGTTGTCTATGGGTCTTGAGTGTTCCCATGTGAGAATCGTACTGGGCCGTATGGTTTAAAGTGTATCCAGACCGGGGGTAGGCAACCTCAGCACTCCAGCTGTGGTAGAACTACAAATCCCACCATACTTCTGCCACTGGGTGTCATGTCTGACCCTGTCAGAGTCTTGCAATGCCTCCTGGGGCTTGTAGTTCCACATCAGCCGGAGTGCCGAGGTCGCCCATCCCTGTCAGAGTCTTGCAATGCCTCATGGGACTTGTAGTTCCACATCAGCCGGAGTGCCGAGGTCGCCCATCCCTGTCAGAGTCTTGCAATGCCTCATGGGACTTGTAGTTCCACAACAGCTGCTGTGCCAAGGTTGCCTACCCCTGGCCTAGACCCAAAAGCAAGCATGCCCTGTATTGCAGATGACCCCTCCTCCTCCTCCTCCATCGATGTGGTGGCTGCATTCGTTTTCTTTCTCAGGCTCATTTTATTATGTCATCCTGCCAGTAACACACTTCCTGTCCTAGAGTGACAACACTCGCTCTCCTGTATCTATAGAGGAACAGTGTTGTCACCCTAGCACAGGAAGTGTGTTAGTACTAAAGAACACCTCCACCTCTCCATAGCATATGGGGGGGGGGGG